ACATCGAGGGAGTTGCTTGCAGTTGGCCCACGAATTGTCAAAGATTTGGCAGTTGTAGCACTATGTAAGGTCAGTTTTAGCTCTGTATGGTTCTACCTTAATAAAAATATTGTTAAGTTTACTCAGCTTGATTACCTTTCGAGATTTTACGTTTCTTGTTAAGGTAACGAGGAATGGCGGTAGGGTTTCGCCGAGTTCTGTAACTGCGTAAATTTGGTTTTGACGTGTCATTTCGCTCCACTTCGAACATGAAATATAGTGGCTTTATGATGATTTAAATCTCACCGTGTACTTCAGCACATTAGTCGCAAGTGGGAAATTGAACTGCTATATAACATAGCGCCGGCATGTAGCCTGTGGTACACTTTTGTTAGCTGTGAATAAACCTCACTTTACAGCCGTCCCAAAACCAGGACTTGTACAAACATAAGAGATTCTGCTACCAAAATATTTTTGATGCAGTACATTCTCATATATAAATAAAATGTTTTGGATTCTCTTCACGTCAGATTGAATCAAAATGATATTTAAGCATATGTTTGTCCCTCACAATATCACACTTTGCACATTTAAATGTCTCAAACGATGATCCGTTAAACAAAGTTACAAGTGCAACAAAAAATGAATTTGTTACGAAATTTATTCATTTTAAAATTCGATTCAGTGACTTCCTGCCGACAGGCCAGGTCAGAGATACTGGGTATCATATTCAATATTTCAGTCATAAAAACGATAAATATAAGAATGTTATGAACAAGGCCCACATCTTGATGACATGTCATTTTTATTCCATGTATCCTTTTCGATGCCTGTAAATACATAAATCCCGAAAATGAGCTGCTGGCCAGAGAAATGTAACTTATATTGGTCATTTTTTTGTCATTTTTCTTCAGTTTAAGTTTTCAGGTCATTTTTCGGAAAATTTCTGATTTTAAGAGTATGTTTTGCAATTTTGTCACTTTAGGGAATACTTTTTTTTTACAGAAATGTGAATGATTTTCAAGGAAAGTGTTCTTCCTCCTTCTCTTTCTCCTGCCTCTATAAAATATAAGAAATATAAGAATGTTATGAACAAAGGCCACATCTTGATGACATGTCATCTTTCATTCCATGTATCCTTTTCGATGCCTGTAAATACATAAATCCCGAAGATGAGCTGCTGGTCAGAGAAATGTAACTTTTATTGGTCTTTTTTTTGTCATTTTTCTTCAGTTTAAGTTTTCAGGTCATTTTTCGGAAAATTTCTGATTTTAATGGTATGTTTTGTCATTTTGTCACTTTATTGAATTCTTTTTTTTTCTTTTTTCTTTTTTCAGAAATGTGAATGATTTTCAAGTAAAGTGTTTTTCCTCCTTCTCTTTCTCTGCCTCTACAAAGGCTGCCAGCACCTGCAACCCAAATACTTCCTACCTAAGTATGGAATAATAACATGTATTACTGTCACAACCTTTCCGTCCGTCTTTCGGAAAGTGCTGTATTACATACCATAAGACATTTTAAGCTGGCAGCAGGGACTCTCACTGCGTCCCTTTCCAAGTTTGCGCTAAGAAATTTGGTTATTACAAATATTTCTAGTCGAGATCCCTCATTTTTTAAAACATATTTTTTTCTCAGGATAACTCCTACTGTCTTCAGTTTCTCGCCCTTAACCGTACACACAAAGATACAGTTAACGAAAAGTTCTCAGTGTGAAAAGTTGATTACAATGTTGCACTAGAGCGATTCATTTTATCACAATGCCTAAAGCAAAGCCATCTAAATCGTGTCATTTAGAGAACATTTTAACTGAATTTGGAGATGATATATTTTAAACTGACTGTAACATTTTATACTGTAAGATGTGTGACACACTATTTGCGGCAGAGAAACATATTTCACTGTGCAACAACATATCGGACGCAACAAACATAGTATTGTATCGTACTGTATTGTAACCGAATTCAAATGTTGCAGGTACAAACAGGGTGACGATGGTTTGTTCTGGCATGAGACTCGAAAACCTGAAATGAAGGAAGTAAAGGACTTGGGAGCCAACCCGTCATTGTATGACGGTAGCAACACACGGTCAAATGGCGCAGATGACACACTTGCACAGGGGTCAGGAGGAAACATGTTTGTTGCACTGTAATGGAACATGTTGTCAGTTGGAATTTTGTATCTAGAGAAGTTACAGAGTCCCCTCTGTTGCATGTCTTATCCATGTTTCACCATATCATTCATTCTGATTATAAGAGAAATTACCAAAATAACTAACAAGGTTTAGAATCTGAAAAGGAACTGGTGTGGTGTTAGTCTCCATGTCTAGACACATTTGGATACAGACTATGAAAATGGTTACATGCTCAGCTGGGGTTCTGTAGTCCTAATCCCTCTTCCACTCTTGAAAGTTTTGATTCATGTTTCCCATCTAGGCTTACATACAAGATTAACCTATATGCAGCCATCTCGCCTGAAGGCAGTCCTGTCAGGAAACCCGTCAATTTTCACCCCATGTGGCTTGTAATATGTATCAATATTGCTCATCACTGAATTGGAAAGGAATAATGTCACTGGGCTGCAGGTATCAGAAAGCCTAAAGAAAGTAGGTAATTACGAAATTAAAGTGCTTCACTATATTGCACCAGAAGCCTCTTTGAGCCATTACAATTTGCGTGCCATTATGCTTGTCTACCATGTGGTAATCATTCATTAAATGTACAGCACTGAAGTGGTCTCTAGTGGCATAATATATATACCACATTTCAGGAAAGTTGATCAGATTGCATACTGCATATCTCATCAAAATAAAGAAGTTCTTTGTCCAAACCATTTTATTATTAGACTCATTATTAATGTATTTACAACTCTTAAGAACATAAAAAGCCACTGACATTTTTGGTATGTCAAAATATTTCAAAGTATTGTAACGTTTATAGCTTGGAAACGGCTGGATAAACATCTGGCGTAAGCGCATTAAACAATGGGGCGGATATTTACAGTTCGTTGTTAGTCAAAATTCAGCGAGTTTATGGATTGGCGAGGTTGCTATCATGTGACTCGCTTGTCGACTTAAAAAAAGAAAGGATGGCCAAGTGGAAAGTAGGTGGAGAAAAATGGAAAGCTGAACGGAAATCCGACCAAGAAGAAGTGGAGGCAGGGCTGGAATCCATTCATGACAAATATAGACACCAACCAGATGAGACTGAAAGCCAAAACGAAACATCAAGAGAAGATGGATACCTGGATAGCGGCCATGAGGGATGATCGAAAAGAGACAGTGTTCTACCAAGTAACGATAGAGGCATGTCTGGAATGCGAGAAGCCACCATCAGCGGACATGATGTCCTACCACGAGACGACCGCCTGACATGAAGCGACGGAGGCAGATAGATAGAAGAGTAGGCCCAATCCAGGAATGATGCAATCCGTAGACTGGCATCAGAAATCTGCAGTGAAGTTGTCGTGGGACTGAGGAAGCAGCGTAAGGACAAGAATCTGGCAGCGGAACGCCGCCAGAAGGCGAAGGAAAGGACCCGAGCATACTGTGGATCCCGGAAGAGAGTGTCCGTTAAAGGCAGGAGAATTACTCACTGTACACGAGTGGCATTGATCAGGAGAGGCGTCGTCAGAATGGATTGAACCAGGGTCAAAGTTAAGAGAGCAACCCAGAGATTAGGAATACTCAGGAAGCATTTACGGACGCACCATGAAAGAAAAAGAGCAAAAAAGCGGCAGCTATAACTGAGAAAGAAGAGGGAAACCGAAATCCGCATCGGAGGGTGGAGTTCAAGGCTGCTATCACCTCTCGGAAACAGGCCCTAAAGTAAACCCTAGGCCTCGAATTCGTGAAGCGAACAAACGGGAAGTCCATCGGTTTCGGAAATTGAGGAAATGAACCTTGTGGAGAGGTCGGCCCCCTCCGAAGCGGATAAAGAGCCTTCATACGGAGAAAGAACCGTACTCCGTGAGTTGTGGCCCGCACTGCAAAGAGAGAGAGAAATCCTTTGGATGATGGTGATACATTTGAATCTACTGGCACCTGAGCAGTCAACTGCTCGTGACGAGCTTGACTTAATGAGAGAATGGTGGTAGCAGTTGGAGAATAGTCGCCACAGAAAGAGAAGATCGATAACAGACGTCGTAAGTACAGCCCTCGGAAAAAGAAGGATGATGCACCGATAATCTACTCGGTACGAATAGCCTTAGGGAGGGAGCAGTTTAGCATCGATATCTAGGTAACTGCGCGATAATCATCTCGAGTAAGGGCATGTTCATAGCACGATTCTGGTCAACAGTGAGCACGCCGATGGACTATCAAGATAGCTATCACGTAACTGAATTTCTTTGGAGTCCGTGCAACGACCGTTGCTATGTAAAGATTCTGTAAACAGTTTCCAACCGTAGAGTCTGTGTTTTTCTTCGTGGTTGGTGCGGAGGCTATATACGACAGTTACAAATAACAAAATTATGCAGGCAACAAACAGAAATAATACAAAATCATGATAAAATATTTGACATACTGGAAATGGCGAAACCGAAAATAGAAACTATAAGAGGCTTAAACTTGATGTGATCAAGCATAGGATCGTGCCAGTGACTAGACTGCCGTTTGCTACATATATCACTGTGTGAGGGTAGATATTACTTCAGATGACTCTTCTCACTGAATGATTTATTGCACACGTCTCAGCAAAATGGCCGCTTCACTCTATGTATGCTTTGCTGTCTTCAAATTACTCTGCTGACTGAATGGCTTATTGCACACGTCACAACAAAATGACGGCTCCCCTCTGTATATGCACTGATGTGAATTAAGATTATCCTGCCAACTGAATGATATTACATACCTCAGAGCAAAATTGCCGCACCCCGCTATGTATGCTTTCGTGAGCCTTCAGATTACTCTGCTGACTGAATGATGTATTGCACACGTCACAACAAAATGGCCGCTCTCCGCTGTGTATGTGTTGGTGAATCTTCAGTTCACTCTGAACGCTGAATGACTTATTGCACACGTCATCTCAAAATTGCCGCTCTCCTCTGTGTATACGCTGATGTATCTTCAAATTACTCTGACGAATGAATGACTTATTGCACACGTCACAGTAAAACTGCCGTTCATCTCTATGTATGCCTTGGTGAACCTTCAAATTACTCTGCTGACTGAAAGACTTAATGCACACGTCACAGCAAAATGGCCGCTCACCGCTATGTATACGTTGGTGAACCTTCAAATTACTCTGCTGACTGAATGATTTCTTGCAAACGTCACAGCAAAATGGCCGCTCCCCGCTATGTATGCGTTCGTGAATCTTTAGTTCACTCGGAAAACCGAATGACTTATTGCACACGTCACAGCAGAATGGCAGCTCCCCGCTGTGTATACGCTGATGTTTCTTCAGATCACTTTTACGACAGAATGACTTATTGCACACGTCACAGTAAAATGGCCACTCATCGTTATGTATGCTTTGGTGATTCTTAAAATTACTCTTCTGACTGAATGACTTCTTGCACACGTCACAGCAAAATGGTCGCACCCCGCTATGTATGCGTTGGTGTCTCTTCAGGTGACTCTGATCACTGAATGACATATTGCACACGTCACAGCAATATGGCCGCTCGCCGTTGTGTATGCGTTGGTGAGTCTTCAAATTATTCCGCTGATTGAATGACTTATTGCACACGTCACAGCAAAATGGCCGATCCCCGCTATGTATGTTCTGATGTCTCTTCAGGTTATCCTGACGACTGAATGACTTGTTACACACTTCACACAAAAATGGCTGCTCGCCGTTATGTATGCGTTGGTGCCTTTTCAATCTTTTCTGATCACAGAAAGGCTTACTGCACACGTCACACGAAAATTGTTGCTTGCCGCTGTGTATAGGCTGATGTGTCTTTAGATGGCTCTGAGGACTGAATATGTTATTCCTGATTTCACAGGAATATGGTCGCTCCTCACCAAACGCAGGTTGAAGTTTATTTGGGATAGCCTGCAAAACGAGATCTATAATGAATAACCCTATTATGTGAAGAAATACATTTTCATTCCAATTACATGTAGGAGTTAAGGGGGTCGCCGAAAATAGGGTGAAGAGAGGGAGGGCGTGAGTGCACCCTAACATGTCCTTTCATAGGAGTCTGTAAAAGATAAAGTCGCTGTGCTTAACTAAATAAACACTGTGCCATTGTGACATGTTGCGCAATGGATGACAAACTCTCCCTCCCCCAGGAATGGCGTGGCAGCTCTGGCCACGGTGACGTAACCCACCCACCCCCGGTCTACGTGGCACCGCTTCCTACTGTGACGAGACAGGCAACGCAGCTGTGACACGGCGTCAGGCAACAACGGTTCCCATTACGTAAGAGGCAGACTCTGCGACTATATAGGGGAATTGCACAGCCGCCGAAGGCAGATAAGAGGTGTATCAGCCACCGAAGTGAGTTCTCAAGTTCTCAAGGCTGCAGTTACGGGTTATGAGTTAGCCAGAAGTGAGTCAGTTAACCAGTCAATTATTGTCTATCTTTCGTCGGAGTATTTGTGATACTGCTGATGGCAGTAATTTTCAGATTGCAAATCATGTGATTGTAAGAGCGAGTAAAATAAATTCCCTATATCAAATAAGGCGTGAAATTATTTGTCGCGTTATACACCCAATACGTGACAATTTGGTGTCATAATTGCTTACGAACTTGAACACGCCTCGACGAACTATACTGCTACAAAATGGAGAAACACGATATGCAACGAATAATAGAAATGCTGACAAGAATCGAGGCGAACACGAGGGCCTGGGAAGAAAAGATTGATGCAGAAACGAAAGCATGGCTTGAAGAAATGGCCGCGTTGAAAGAAAAAAGTTTAAATGCCAACCACAAAAAAACGATAGCCTACCAAGAGATGAAGGCACATCTAGAAGAAGAAAAGCCGGCCTCAGTGGACACGAAACCTGCGGCGGCATGATGTGGATGTATATATCACGTTTTCTTGACCACGGATCTAGTTGAAGGCGAGTGGTCAACTTCTCGCTCCGGCTGCTTTATCTCACGGGAAAAGACTCCTTTTACCCATTCAATAGGAGTTTGGGTGGACCAAAGAAACAGTCTGGACATCATGGAGGAGTGAAAATTCTTGTCCCTTCCGGTACTCGAATTTCGACCCCTTAGTCTTCCAACCCATAGCCACTTGCTATGCCAACTGGTCTACCCCTGCTCAGGCAGTCTGTTAGGGAATACAAGTCGAGCTACAGTTCCATTTCGAAACAAATTACAAAATGAAATATTATTATGCATTTGTAGGCCTTCTCTGTGGTCTAGTGGTCAGAGTTTCGGGCTACAGATCCAAAGGTCCGGGTTTGATTCCCGGAGCTACAAATTTTTTTCTGTAGAATTACTGGGCCTGGAACGGGGTCCAATCAGCCTCGTGATGAGAATTGAACCGCTGTATGAAGGAAATGGCGGCTCCGGTCTAGAAAACCGAAAATACGGCTGTGGGGATTCGTTGCGCTGACCTCGGGATAGCTGATAGAATAGATAGTTCGCTTGCGGTCGGAAATTATGGAATTTTTTAATGCATTTAAGGCTGTACAGGGGTCTGGTTAATGGCGGAGTTAAGAAATGATGTGAAGAAAAGAATGTAACAGAGTCCGTTACTCAGACTAGGCTACTGCAATACTCTAAATTTACCCATGTCAGTCTCCTCATAGAATGCCATGGAACATTCGTCGGCATACGTGCAACTCCACGTTCCACAAACTTATCACCTCTGCAAGTATAAATGTTTATTAAATTTTCAAAATACACTACATGATCCCGCCAACACGGCCAAGATCAAGTGTTGAATATAGCTAATGAGGAAATCGCTGCTATCCTTGTTACTGATGCATTTGCTGTCCTTCTGATGCGTGTGTGGCTGTAACATGTGCGATTTTTTTGTATTTGAATTCATGTATGTGAAGTTCTTTGTGTGTGATATGGTTATTTATTTGAGTATTCACTGTGGTTGATGTGTTATGCTCCTCTCTTTTGTGTTCTTCATTGCGTGTCTTGTTCCTGAATGTTTAGGCGGTTTGGACTAACCAGTATAATGTTGGGTCTCCCTTCAAGAGAATAGCCATTGATATCGCAGGGCCCTTCCCATGAAGCGACCAAGGAAACCGATACTTACTGATCGCTATGGACTACTTTACCAAGTGGCCGGAAGTGTACGCCATTCCATATCAGGAAACGTCAACAATAGCGGAAGTACTGATTCCAACTTCTTCTGCCGCTTCGGCATACCTCGGCGGTTGCTATAAAATGAGCCTTTATTATAACCGTGGAATCTCATCTCTATGCATTGCTCAGTTAGAATTACAGTATCGCTATTGTTACTTACTATGCAAAGTCTGTTCTAGCGTTTCCATAGAAGTGTCTCTTCTGGATTCCAAATAGGTTACAATATATTGGTCACTATCTGTAGTTTAACTCTTCTATTACTTCGAATATTGTGTTATGGGTATCGATGTATGTGTCATTTATCTGCAATCCGTCTTTACTCATCTTATTTTTTTTAATGGCATTTCCAGATCATTCAGGGCCTCGGCCTATTATTCAGTTCCGAAATCATTTTTCATAGACGGTGGGTCTCTTTGGAGGAGTGATCAGGCCGTCGCAAGCCCTCTACTTAAACACAAACAAGCACAAACACAGAATAAACGCATACACACACCAAACATACATGACTTGATTGGGATTCGAACCCACGATAACAGCATCCGACCGAGCGAAGACAGTTCGTGCCTTAGATCTCGCGGCTACTGTGATCGAATTACTAGTCTTATATAGGATATGGCCTTTTTTCGTGTGTTCTGAGATGATTTCTTTTCTGTTTTCAATAATTTCATGATGTTAGCTATATTCTCGTATGTACGTCCTGTATTTATTTTGTTGTTGGAGTATCCTGATTTGGTATTATTAGCCACTTCTGACGCCAAATTATCATGTGTCGGGGGTTCCTTGACAAATAATTGCAGATTCTTAGTTTTGATTGTTGGGTTCATTGGACGATCCTAACACAATTGTACTCAATTATAGCAGTTCACACATTTTCTGTGTTGTGTGATACTTCACTTCCCAACTGTGCTTATAAATGTTGGTTTAAATTCTGATTTAGAAACTGTCCTCTCACTTCTGTGTGCAATTCTGACTTGTTTCATAACTGCTTGGCTTGCCGACTAGGGAACAGAGAATCGAACAGTTAATTCCTCCTTGGTCATGAAAACGTTCCTTCCGTTGTTATGAGAACAAATTTTACCTGGCCGTAGTCATGAAAACGTCGCCTCGGTTGCGCAGGAAACGTGACTACCGGGCCGTTGTCTATCAATGGACTTCCGTTCTGGCTCAGATATTACGACATTTAGGCGGCACGCCACAATATGTTCTTTGTATCTGGCCCATTTCCCTATATATTTTAGTGCGAAATCCATACAAATCATTTGGTATACGCCACTTTTTCATACTCGTCTCTTTGTAGGCGAGGCTTTGTTGGGTTTTATATATTTTTTTTCTGATTGCGGTCTTGATATTTGCTTCTTTCAAAAGATTTGTGATTTTTCTTTTTCCTTTTCATACCCGAATTCAAACTAGCGAAATATCTACAGCATTGCACATTTGCCGAAACCTGCTCAGTGTGTATAACGTCCAAAACGCTTACATCTAACAATAGAATTACATTCCATAAAAATTAACGAAGATATGACAATGTGTTCATTCGATATAAAAAATATGTGTACATACCAAAAATATAATTCCTTAATATAATTGAAAATATTGTGACATGTTGCGCAACAGAGTCAACGCTCCGTCATCCCCCCTCCGCACGGTATTGTAACGCGCAAGGCGCGGTGACGTAAGACGCGTGAGGTAACAGCGTTGCTACGTAACAGGCCCACACAGCCCCTATATAAGAGAGCTGCGCTGCCTGCGAAGTTAGTTGTAATGTGGCCATCGCCGAGTTCAGTTCGGAGTTAGTTCCGAGCAAGTCTACGAGCGAGTGTGTTATCAACAGTTCTCAAGGCAGTAGCCTGCGAGTCGAGTTGAAATATAGCAGCCGTCGCGGAAAGAATTACCGGACGTGTGTGTAACTGAGAATTAATTGGGAGTGTGATATAGTGGGACTTATATAGTTCCCGTACGGTGAAAACGTGTTGACTACTGACAATAGAGTGAATTGATTATTGCGAATAGGGTTATAAAGTGCAAAACCCAGCAACATTGTTATAATTAATTGTAGCCGTGATTTGTAGGTTGTTGAATAAACCAATTAACAATCTCTACGGCGTATTCATCAACGAAACGCGTTACAATATTATAGAGAACGTCACAGAAATCACCAAAACTGATAAAGAAGAAATAATGAACATATTAAAATCAGTTACGGAAGAAAATTATTTCCAATACAATCAACAATATTGGATAAAGACAGAAGGATTGGATGTGGTTGCTAATGCTTCCGCCATATTATCCGAAGTATACATCCTACACATGCAGCAAAGTCAACTGCACCAGGTCCTAAAACATCAACTAATGGGATATTTCAGACACGTAGAAGATATTCTTATAATATACAAACAAAAAAGGCTAACATAGATGAAACCATAAGCGAATTCAACAAACAAACAATTAATATAAAATTTACTATCGAAAAAAACACCTGATTTCATCAAATTCTTGGATCTCACATTACGCCAGAAATGAACAAAGCAAGAATTCGAAACATATAGATAACCAACACAGATTGTTACCATAATACCGGATGTCCAATACTATCCCTACGATCATAAAGTACCTAAATAAAGAATAGACTACATACATATAAAATAACTATTGAAGGAGAAAACAAAGGAACTGAATATTATACAAGACACACTATATAAAATGAATATTGTGACATGTTGCGCAAAGGAGACCCCCCCCACCAGCAGTGACGCGGCGGGTGAGTCAGGGCTCCCCTCCCCCTCCTCCGCACGGTAACGTAACGGTGACACAACAGGATTGTTACGGTAGTAACAGCGGTTACTACCGCTAGCGTTACTAGCAACACAGCGCCAGGCAACAAGGGTGCTTATTACGTGGCCGTTTTCTGTATGGTCCGATCGAGGCTACATGAGGCGCAGCGAAGGCTATTCATAGTTAGTCCTGGAGCTACCGCCGAGTGAGTCCTCGAGCTACCTCCGAGTTAGTTCCGAGTTAGCCAGCAACCAGTCAGTTGTATTGTGGCATTTGGAGTGTACTAATTGTGATACTGCAGATAGCAGTAATCGTAAAACTGTCAATTGGGTGATTGTAAGTGCGAATGTGAAATAAGATTCGCTATATAAAATACGGCGTGAAGTTATTTGTCGCGTTATACGCCCGATACGCGACAATATAATAAGAACTTAAAAACAAGCAATTCACGAAACATTAGACTCAACAGAAATGCAATTCCAAATCACCAAACAAAAAATTTGTCATTTTTATTTACTACGGAAAGAATAGAAGAAAAATCACAATACTTTTCAAAGAAGGAAATATAAAGGCCACAGTCCGAACAAAGAAACTGGAAGTATGCTACATGAAGCGAATCCTCTTAAAGGGTGGATTTCTGCCCACAACAAACAATAAACAAGAGTTAAAAGTACTGTTACATACGAGCTTACCGCAGGTGCGCCAGGAAGCAGAGAATTTAGCATACCGCCCATAATGATCTTCGAAAGGAATTGTTGCCCAAGAAGCCAAAAAATAAATAGTACATATTTTGAATTAATGAAGGTACTGTATTAAAGTAAATTATTCTTTACATAAGTAGTACTAACATATGGCTACTTAAAATTCTCAATCGCTTTTACCCTCCAGAGTACACTGAACAATAATTTTATATTCTCTCTGTGTATGTGTGTTTGGTTGAAAAGTGGTGGGCCTGCCTTAAGTTCTTGCCTCCTCCTGAGCGGCATGCTCTTCGTAGAATTGCTCCGGTTAAAACTCGAATTATAGGTTGTTATAATTATTATTTAATAACATGACAACGTATCTTTCAGTTCGAATTCAACCTTGGCAGAATAAACTTAGTGAGGATCATGGTTCCCAAATAATAGACAGTCTAATTAAATTTGGTAAAATTTCCTCTTAAACCTCTCAACTGTTAAGGTATTTTTTCTTCAGCTCTCACCATCGCCATGGTAATCTTGTGGTCGCATGTTCAACCCTGCAGTTCCTGCTTCATTAATACGTGTATCATAGATGGGGGAGGGCTAGGCTTAAGAGGGTGTGCACATAATATCCTCGCTTTACATTGTGAGACGCCACTCCCAAACCTCCACACTTCTGGCGTGTAATTTTCGCCTTCAAGTAGTTTCAGAAGTTAGCAGTATTTGTTTCATTTACCGCACAGCCTTCAAAATAGTATGAATAATCATTTCACGAACATGTAGAGCACGTGCAGATTCTGCTGACGCTCGCCCCTCTTCTTGTGACACATAACGTTAAGATGCACATGAGGGGTGTAAACTGGTACACCAACTCCTGCATACGGCAGGGCTACAATTCGAAACAGTCACAGAGTAACAGAAAACCCCGAAACATGAAGCACTGGCTGCAGGAAAGAGCGGAGTGAACGTACGACATTGATGTAAGTAAGAGGAGGGTGGGGGACGGTTCGGAGAAGGATGATGGAACAAAAGAGTGCATGTGCTTCTGATGGGAAGCATTTTCTCTCGGGAAAATTCATAATCCATAGAAGGAATCGTCGGAATTGCGGGGAATTGTCACACACAGCGTTTCCAGTACTCTTGCACTGTATATACAGAGAAGTGGATAACGAAGACTCACATAGCCGTGACTCCCTGTATTACAGAACGTGTTTATAGCATACTTCATATGAGTATCAAACACGCAGAAGGTGGCAAATTGTCCACATTCAGGCTGGAAATGTCATGTGTTCAGTGAAAAGTATTGTTGAAGGCATGGTGAAAATAGTGTGATGGGTACAGAAGGAGACGTGTCTCCTCAGGGTGCCTGAAATTTCTCCGGATTCTCCACGCGTAGAAGCTCAAGGCAGCTGGAGCAGTAGATACAAGTGTATTGTAGGTCACCGTGTTTATACAATATTTATGATAATCTGAACTTTGTTGTGGAGCCATATGTGAAGCTTCCACTGTCCGCTTTGGAGTGGAATTTTTTAATTCCAAACCAAATTTCTGCAGTTAGGGAACCAGGCTGTGCACACATAAGACAGATTAATATGGATGAAATGTAAGCATGAGATGCACAGCCGACTCTGTATGTTTAGAATCAGGCGGATGGTCACATACTGTAATGGTGTGGGGTGTAGGATGGTGCTGATATTTGCTGCTCCCCAACAGACCCCTGCTCCGCATGTATTCTGCTTTCGCAAAAGATTTCTCACGAATGTAGGTCGTTCGCTATAGGAGAACTTCGTAAAGCGAGGGAGACCTCTATTAGTGAAATCGGCCTAACATGTACACAGATGAACAGCTCACCTCAGGTTCAGCCTTTACTACTCCTGGATATGTTATTGCCTGAGAACCCTCCTCTGCTTCTGCATCTGACGATACCTCAGCTTTCACGCTGATGGCCTGATATGCATCTTGAGAAGCTGCTGGTGACATCTTACTACACAGACTTCGTTCTTTCTCCGAGCCTGTAAGGTTCTGTAGAACAATCAATGCCGTTCTATCATGGCTGTGCATTCACAGTCCTGGGAAGCAAAATTCGCGTGTTTTCTTTTCACTACATTTTGAGGTCCTGACACAACACGGATGATGCATCGTGTCCAACATTTTCGCATTTTTGGGAGTGAATTTTTTGCTATGGGAACATGTTTACTCAACCACTGCTGTCCCATCGGAATCTATTATTCTGGCTTTCAGGCGTTAGGTCAAATTCAATTCAAAAATTATTTAAGTGTTTTCTAAGAGTTTCGAATAAGTAGTGAAAGGAAGAAGGCAATTAGTACTTCCCAGAATTCCTTGCATTTATCAAAATAAGAAAATTGCACTAAAATATGATACACTTTCATTTTTTTATGGAATTAATTTCATAATAACATTTTTTTACACATTTCTTCCCAGCAACTTAAAATGACTATAAACTGCTAAGACCACGTAGCCGAGTCTCCCTTTAGAAGCTAATGGTCACTCTCCTAGTCTACAATATATATGCCTGCTTTGGTATTCGAATTTAGATAACATGTTCGCAGGAGCCTGTCATGGATCTGTAGACTAACAGAAGCAAATCCACACCACAACCTCAAATTTTAATCTTTCAAAATGTGCTTCAACCCCTTACTTCTTACGAATGCAAGTTGTTCAGTGTAGCAAATGTACACAAATGGATTGTCTGTAAAATGAGGGAGACCTGTATTTGTGAAATCGGCCTAACATGGACACAGGGACGCATCTCACCTCAGGTTCAGCCTTTATTCCTCCTGGAAATGTCATTGCGAGGGGATCCTCTGCTTCTGCATCTGACGGTACCTCGGCTTTTATACTGGTTTCTTGATATGCATCGTGAGAAGATGCTGGGTACATCTCACCACTCGAACACCATATATGTACTCTCTCCAAATCTGCAAAGTTCTGCAAATCGAGAAATGTCGCACCTGTCATGGCTGTTCATTTGCATGGAATGCAAGAGATCCTGGGAAGAAGCACTCACTAAGACATGGACCGCATAGAAAACGGCAAATTATTTACCGAGATGTTGCCTAGGAAGCAGACCATTGCCCAGAAAGAGAATCATTGCCTAGCAGTGAGATACACAGAGAAAGTACGTTCCGCGGGACTCGCAACCAAGAACAAAAATATCGTCAATGGTATCGACGGGGCCCGAAACCTGCAACGGCGCTTCTGTCGAAGGGCAGCAGCAGTTAACCCCACCTGTCCCGAACGGCCGTGTTTAGCAGACAGTCGAGGTATGCAGATACTTGTTAGATGGAGGAACTAATTTGCGACCCGTTGCCTAGCAATGGCTATTTCAATGGCCCATATCTCCTCGCAACTTTCCGGCTTTCAGGCGTCAAGTAACGTGTAGCGAAGGTTCATATATTATTGTAAGGGCCGTTTTTCAGGGTCCACTTTTCAGAACTTCAGGACTTAGGGGTCTAGAACAGACAGCAGGGCGATCTCATGAGAACAAACAAAGCAGGCAATGGCTCGACAAACACGTTCCCTCGGCAAACAATATACACGTATAAGCAGCGAGAGAGGAACTGTTGGACGCGGTATTTTCCATGTGGTCTATGTAAATTCGATGCTGTATGGACTTTTTTTACCCAACCCTCACAAGCAAGAGCCGTCTCTTCCAACTCCCCTACTGAGTCGTGTTACATTGCATTCGCAAGTTGCTGAACTTGGTGTTTTCTTTGCGGTCCGATTCTTATCAGATACTTAATATGTAATGATCGAAGTAAGTAATTATATCTTCGCAGTTTTTCTTGCATTTTACGAAATACGAAAATTAGTTCAAACATAAAATACGCTTTCCTTTTCCATTATATAAAATTGACACTAGCAGTTATGTACAATTAAGTCCAAGGAGCAGAGTCTTTCTTTAGAAACTAGTGGTCACCAGCTAGTCTCGAATATATCTGCCTTTCATGGAACTTATTTTTATTTTGTGTAGCACCCTTTACAGTTAATATAATTTTAGAAGTTGCACAATTTTTAACGTTCAAATGAACGACATTATATTTATTATTTAAAGCTGGTAATCATTGCTACTTTTCCTCCTTACAGGATTGAACCTTATAATGCACTATGTTGTCACAGGCCCATGTTCATTGGGTGTAGTGTCTGTACTTTAAGAGGACTGTGGTTAACCCACTGACTTCCAGTTTCTTCCATGGAGCTAAGTGCCAGATATGTATAGGCTGTTGGGGGGTAAACACAGGTGAACACAGAAACCCTCAATACTTCCAAATGACCAAAGATATATACAATGGGAAAGCCTATTCTCTTAGCAGGAATGATCTCTTAGGTGATCAACATTGAGCCAATCTCCTCAGCTCTGGAAATTTTAACATCAGTAAACTGTACAAATATATTAACTTGTGACAAGAATATGATGAGTGATACCTTAACCTTTGAGCATAGATCTACAAACTGGTCTCATTCATTCAGGTTTACTGTCTGGGTTTCCTCTGCATTTCCCACATTCACCCCAAAGCTACGTGAGTTGCCCACATCATGTACAAGTATCTAAGATACATGACTCTCTCACACAAAACGCTAAAATGCTCTAATTCTTTCAAGTATCTAAAAAAATGACAACGGATATTATGAAAATTAAGATAATATTGTTCCTATATATTTGGTTCCTCTGAACCAAATATATAGGAACAAGAACTTGCAAATTGTGGTCTGAAATAATATCTTTCCCAACCAAAGAAACACAAAACACTCACCATGGTTTCTTGTAGAACAGGAAATACTTCTTCAAATCTGTGTAGCAAACCTCTGGCACTCTTTTTTCAAGGGAAAGTAGAATTCTTTGTAAGCTTACAACTCGCTCCTCACACAAGGTGTCTCTGTCGGTTGTGAAAAAGTGGCTTGCAGCAGTCCAACACTTTAGCTTGAGGGTTCTGATAAGTGTGTGGGCATCTAACTCGGAATATATGAGCAGCTCCTGAAAGGAAATCTCCTGAGTATCAGTCATGTATAAACATGTTGTCATGTGTTAGTGAGTAGACATTGGGGTTCGAATGAGAATTGGAATTACTGAACGATTATAATTCGTAATTAGATAATCTCAATAATTTACACACCCTATAAATCACCACTACATGATCGTAATCCAGGACACAGGAAGTGCTCTCTTTGTAAATCTGCCATCTCTAGTCGTTGTTAGTTAGTAGCTGCTAATAATTGAGATCCCTCACGGCCAACAACGATCTGCCAGTGAACCTTTGCTACTCATGACTAATTCAATTGAAAAGCACATTGTGGCTGATAGTCCGTCAGTAAGTCTTGGCATCAAACCCCATCTGAGGCTCATGACATAATATTTATCACTCTTTGACAGTTATGGTCTTGTTCTTGTGGAGCACCCTCTCTGAGAAGAGGACGAGTCTGTCTAGTCCATATGCTGCTGGCCGTCGCAAGCTCAGTCTTTCTCGGGTCCGAGTCCCTTAGTATTCACGACCATATTTCACTGTCTCAGATTGGAGGGTTCCATTTTCGTCGCCTCCTACGACTCGTATGGTCACGGTGGATGTATTGGACCCCGCCTCCACATGGGTCGGGTTAACTACAAATCAAAGTCAAAGTCACATTGCCACTGACGATCAATCTGTCAGTCAGTCAGTCAGTCTTGCTATAGAGCCCAGTCTGGTCCCATGACCAGATATTAATTACTGTTTGACACTTTCGGCCTTGTTTCTGTGGGGTCAGTACTGATTGGTTGCTGGTGCCCGTTATATAATCTCGGCGCGTACCGCATAGAAATCGATGCTTCCAAAATGGCCTTTATTGTTGTCTCTTAATTCATTACTATGGATATATGTTTACTGTGCAGTTGCCTTGACCTGGAGACTTGAAACCGCAGCGTACTCTGTTGTTGTGTCAGTATGTGTTGCCGCGGGAACTTGTTTTGCGGTACCGCTGCATAACAATAAGCGCCTCTACTCGTTCCCCTGTTCCTGCTTTTGATGTCAAATCACACTGTTATATATCACGGAAACAGAAAATGTTGCAGGATATTAGCTTCTGGCAGCAGACAATATGACGCTTGCTATTTTCTAGGGTGCCATGTTGTTGCAGGCTCGTGAGTATTCCTGTTGTATTCGAATCCTTGTTTTCAATGTACCAGACTACATTGTGGTACAATAACTAACATATTTGTACGTGTAGGAGACAAACATTCATTCGTTCTCCATTTCAAAATACTGCAGCCTCAATTAGATCGCCAAAGTCATCAGTTCTCATGATGTCTTTTAGCAATGAGAGCAGGATTGGCGTGTGAAGGGAAATATTTGATAAACACTCTCTTGCGGAAACACCTCATTAGACACGTTCCAGCGGCAATGGGTAATGGTTGAAGGCGTTGTTTTCTATGCGGTCCCTGTCATATGAAATGAGAATTGTAGACTGGTTCTTCACAGAAATTGTTTAAAAAAGGAAACTTTTTTAACAATAACGTAGTGGAACACAACATTAGCTGCCAGAGGGACAAAAAAAAATATACATACCTACTTTCCTTGCCCAAATTACTGAGCATTAGATACGACATACGCCGCACAGTATACTACGTGTCTTACAGTTCTGCTATTCTTGCGTGTGTATTATTTGGGTGAGAATATACTTGCTGAGTCTTGTATAGCAAATATTACAGGTTATACACAGACAGACATACATGAAGTTTAACTCATAACAATTCTCTTATTTCTTCAAGTTATGGAAAGTAGGCTGAAGTATAGGAAACATGACCTGCAGCCCTGATAGCAAGACAGGCCACAAGAATAAGGAAACAGTATATGCAACATCCGCCCCGAAACCCGATTGCAAGCCATGCCACACAAAAAAGAAGCAGAACATGCAACACACGCCCTGCAGCCCCGATAGTAATACATGCAACAAGAATAAGGAAACAGAACGTGCCACACAGGTCCTGCAGCTCCGACAGTAAGGTAAGACACAAGAAGAAGGAAACGGGACTTGCAACACACGCCCTGCAGCCCCGATAGCAACATATGCCACAAGAATAAGGAAACAGAACATGCAACAAACGCCCTGCAGCCCCGATAGCAATACATGCCACAAGAATAAGGAAACAGAACATGAAGCACACGCCCTGCACCCCCGACAGCAAGAAATGCCACAAGAATAAGGAAACAGAACATGCAACAAACACCCTGCAGCCCCGATAGTAATACATGCAACATAAATAAGGAAACAGATCTTGCCACACAGGTCCTGCAGCTCCGACAGCAAGGTAAGACACGAGAAGAAGGAAACGGGGTTTGCAACACACGCCCTGCAGCCCCGATAACAATACATGCCGCAAGAAGAAGAAAACTGAACATGCAACACACGCTCTGGAGCCCAGCAACAAGAAATGTCATTAGAAGGAAATGGAACATACAAAATATTAATTTTTGTACCTTGTGTGTATTGGTCTGATCGATGGTCACTCAGACTAACAGTTGTTGTTAATAACCTTTTCTTTATGGAGGTACGTGAATGTAGGTGTATTGTTTAATAAAACTATGCACAGAAATAGTTCCTTACTCTTCACTATTTGTCTTCCGGATGCTTCCAAACTTAGGAGAAGCTCGTTTCTGCAGTTTCATTACAAAACTTATTTCATAGCAGCACAACAGATAAACAATTGTTCCCGTTGTTACGCAATAAGTAGACTTTACCTGGTAACGAATCCCAACAATTGAAGTTCGTCAGCCTCTACGTTCACGTCTTCACTCGTAGAGCTATAAATAGCGATGAATTAATGAGATAGAAATCTGCCCGTGGGGAGGCGGGATCGAATACCTCCACCGTGACTCTGCGAGTCATAGGAGGCGACGAAATGTGAAGTCTCAAATCTGAGAGAGTAAAATATGGTCGCCAGACCCAAGGGACTCGGA